TCTTTTCACTTTCTACGGCTTGTTTTCTTTCCTGTTTTTGCAGATCCACTTTTTGTCGATCCTTTTTTGTTTTTAGATGCACCTCCTAACGTATGGATAAAAGCATTTGAAAGAATAGTCATTTTCGCTTAGTTCCCACTTACCATCTCGAGTAGATGTTTTCTGGGTTCCGCCTTGCCCTTTCTGCAAGATTTAAGCTTAGATGTTAAATGTATGAGCTAATCCATTCATACCTTCTTTCTGTAGTACACAACCAGCATCACTCCGCTAAGAACGGCGGTGCCAGCAGCTAAGACCGCCAGAGCCTTTGCTTGTTCAGGTGTCAGAGATTTGGGAATGTTTAAAGATTCTGGGATTTTTTGTAAGGAGTCGATTATAGAAGATCCTTCAGACTTTGCTACTTCCTTTGACTGTATTTCAGCCGATTTGGTTGCTGTTGCTGTAGCTGCTGCTAGTACGGTTGGAAATATACCGGGCATGCTTGAAAATGGGACTTACTATACGTTGCTATGGTTTTACTCTTATTGATTCATAGATAAGGGATAAGGCTAAAGTTTAGGGGTAAACAACATTTCCCTTACTTTTTACCTTCTTCTCCAACATATTAGTCTCCAACATTCAGTTTTGTATTCAGAAAGATCGTATCCATTCTTTGATTAGCCAAACAACCGCTTTGGGGTCCTATCTATCTGCACCTTGAGGGCTCGACACGAAGTCTCCGATTGAACCTTACGAGAAATACTCGCTTGAAAACGCAGGAAATTACGGACCCCTTTTGAAAATAGAAACGCGAGCAAGCAGGACAAGCAGTGCAGTGATGTTTAGTTGGAGCGCGTTTTCCTCATGAAGCTAAAACGATTTAGAGCCTTAGAAAAGAGGAAAGGAATTGCTTAGATCTGATTGCGCTATATATTAGGTCAGGTGTGCGCAGAGTGTTTGATTAAAAAAAATTTTTTAAAAAGGGTTATCGGAGGCCTGAGCTCTCCCGTAATCTCCGCCGGAAACCTATCA